GGCTGGGCTGGGCCTGCCCGCCCGCCCTTTCCAGGCCACCCGCTGCGGGGCCCCGGCCAGGAGGGCGAAAGGCGAGGTGCGTGACAGACCGGCCTTTGCTTCAGGAGGATGCTCGAGTGTCCTGCGGCGCGGCTCGAGGGCGTTTGTCCAGGGGTTACTCCCCACTCTCTCCTGCAGCAGGGACCCACGCCGGGCGGGGTGGGTGTGCGTAGAGGGAGGTTGTGTCTGGCTCTGGGTAGGATCAGCAGGGAACCTGAAGAGGAATTGCTGTTCAGAGTTAAGGTTTTAAAATCTCTCGGGGTAATTTGCCTTTCACCTTGTTCAAATGCTTCTCCTAGCTCGGGTGGTGGAAGGAATGCTTTTTGAATCCAGACGTGGCCTGAGTCCCAGTAGGAACCACACGCTAGTGAGCAATTACCGTCTTAAGACGGTCTCGAGATGGAGCCGGGCTCGATGCAGTTTAGGGCCTGTGCTGTAAGGTCATTCTGCTTGAGCAGCCCTGTGCGAGCTGTGTTCGAGGAGCAGAGCGTTGCAGAGAACTACTTTGGGGTCCACATCCAATTAGGAAGAAATTTTAAGATCTTGCAGCAGATTATGAGCTTGCTTTTAAATTCACTTACTTGTTTCTCACTGGAAGGTCGGTGCCTGAACTGTTTTGGACAAAATTATTTAATACAGCGATCATAGCGGTAGCTGTCACTCTGACAACTGCCTGGCTGAAGTCCAAGGAAGGTCCAATGCACTAGAACATCAAGCAAGTTTGTGATTTCTTTTCAGGTCCATTATTGCTATTCGAGAAAGGTAACTTACCAACTTTGCTACTCTTTCATGACTCACTGCTTTACAAAGGGATGTTCATTGCAGAGCAGTAACAGAGTCACCAACATACTTTGCAACCCTATGCAAGTGTTCAGCCTAAATCCCAAAGTCAGTCCTTAAGCAGTGCAGTTCCAGGAAAATGTAAGCTTTTTCTTAACCGCACAAAAAGCCTCAACCCTTGGCCAATCCCCACAGGGAACTGTAACGAACAAATACAGGTTATGTTGATACCTGGACTTTTTCCACTGGCGCTCGCTCTGCTCTTCATCTTTCTCAGCTGTTCGGAGTGGAGCACTGAGCTGACACTGACAAGCAGTGCTCTGGCTGGGCTGATTTTTATCAACTCTACCTCTGCTTCAGGGAGAGGTCAGGGAAGTTTGCTCTTTCTGGTTACGCTAGACTGTCCTTAGAGTGTGTTTCCCAGCCTCGATCCCACGTGCTGGAGGTTAGAGTCCTTGTCCAGTCTGTGAGGGCCCACGTGCAGTTCTCCTCTCTGATGGAGTGGAGTTCCTGAGCGCCAGGGAATGAACTATTTTTGAAGTATGGAAAGTTGAGAGCTCTTTCACTTGCTATAGTGTAACTCACACACTTACGGGAATTAGAAATGGAGCGTAGGTCATGGTTTTCTGTATGTAGGGCCTGGTAAGGTAGCTGTGATAAGGCGCTTCTCTAAATGCCTTTTTTATGTGCCCTATTGCTGTTCAGGTATTAGGAATCTAGCTAGGCATCCAGCAGCTCTAGACTAGATACCAACTCTAAACCATCAGGACATAATCAAGTCTTTATTAAAAAGCACATATTTATGTATCAGGAGAAGTTTGTTGCAAGACACTGAGGTGTCTGGGGCTATAGGCATTGCCAGGGCTAGGTGGAAGCTGAGCAGTGATTTTGAAGACCTGTATGTTGGACTGGGGCACCAGGTTTCTCCTGTGAGTCCAGCCCCTAGAAGAGCAATGAGTGTTTGCTATAGCGCCTATTGAAGATACCACCCAACACAAAGGTCTTCAGTGGAGAAGGCCAGGGATGCGGTCTCCCCTCTCACTGTTGTACTATTTTGTTTGTGCCTCTTCATTGATGCCTTTGGGATTACGGCCAAAGTTTCGTCTTTGTGGCTTAATTATGTACTGTGAAGTCTACGCAAGAATAAATAAGCCTGCCTGTAAACAGATAAAAACTTGGCTTAATGATGAAGCACTCTTAGTCTGTGACTCTGTCTTCTTATTAAATCTGCTTTGTTCCTATGGGACCCATTAGTGATAACAGTAGTGTTTGTTTCCAGCACCAGGCAAGCTTACATCAGCTGCCGAGTTCATACTATGGCATGTGACTGCACTTGTTAGTGAAATTTGAAAGGACGAAGTGTTTCATCCCAGTACCATCATCTGGTGGGCTGACTTCAGTCCCCTGCTGCTGGGGGCATTGACCAGGCTTTATCTGCCCAACAGAGATCACGGTCTCATTTGTTTGGTTTTGATTTTAAAGTTAAGTTTTTAGGGCAAATAGGATATAAATCCCTGTTACAGTTTAATTGTTGTTCGTAAAATTGGAATGGGTCTTAAGTCTGTCCCCATTCTCTATAATGGATATATTGTGATTTAGCTAATGGTCAAAACAGGACTAGCTAAATATGGAAGTCAGCAGGCCTGGTGAAATATATGCTGGAATATATATTGCTGTTATAACCTCATATTTGTAAAGGCACAGGAGCATGGGGTTTTGAAATATCATAATGAGAGGTGAAAATAACGCTGGTGTCTCTGGGTTGGTGTTCTTGTGAAGCAATTCATTTGACATAGTACATTTTCAAGTCTGGTGTGACATGGATGCTGTCGCAAAACCCAACACCTGCTGAAGAGATTGCATCACTACAAAGTTAAAAATGTATTTATTCAGGAATACCCTACAGTTCTGCTTTGGCTGTAAAACTCTCATGAGCTCCTAAAGCTATGTTAATATTTTTAAAGATGTGTGTATGATTTAGTAGATGCTTATTACATTCTGTCATGATTCTTTTTTGAATTGCTGCATGTTCTGGTAGTGTGTACTTTTTCTTTTTTTCCATTAATCCACAGGAAACTTGGTTGCGCCAAGCCCAAATATCTAGGCCTTGATTGCCCTTCTACTTTCACATTCATCCAACTGTATTTAGTAGTTTGGAGCGGAACATTTTAAATGCTAATTTAAAAAATGCTTCCTGTAGGATCATCATTTTGAATTTATCAGGAAACAAGAACTCTGAAATCATGGCAGGGAAACCCAAGCTGCACTACCCCAAGGGAAGGGGGAGGATGGAGTCAATCCGATGGCTGTTAGCAGCAGCTGGGGTTGAGGTTTGTACCTTTTTTTATAAAGTGATCAGATTAATCTGTGATTAAAATAGGTATTCTTTGGAAAGGTTTCCCAATTACATCTGTGTTAGAGATATGCACATCACATATTGTGATGCAGAATGCTTAGATTCAGTGATACACTGTCTCATACTGTATTTAATGTATTCCTTGAGCAATAGCTGCACAGTAAAAGGATTTTAACATACAAAGATAATTGTTAAGCATCGTTTTTGAAATATACTTTAAGCTGAGATCTTAAATTGTTGCTACAGACCAAAACTGTGTATCTCTGGCTTTTTCTAAATGTTCATTACTTCCCTGTGTCTCATGATTGTCCCCCACTGAAAAACCATGCATACTACATGAAAAACTTTAGAATATTATCTCCAAATTTAGAATATTATCTCCAAATATCTCCAATATTATCTTCTTTGGGTCAGGACCCGAGTAGCATAAATTAGCAGAGCTGCGCTGAAGGCAGTAGGGGAGCTATCTAGATTCACATCAGGTGAAAACCATCTTAAGGCATCTTAATTTCTACATTCAGTTTTTTGTTTGAATACGGTGCTTTGAAACTATTTTCTCAGAAACTATTTACACTCCATTGGAAATAACAGCCTTTTGTAATGGTGCCTACTCAAATGTCCTTCTCATTTTAAAAAAAAAAAATGCCAGCAGGGGGAAAGGAGGAGATAAATGCTGTGTAACAGAGGCATAACTTATTAAAAATTTCTCAATATTTCACGTGGCATCAGCTGCTTTTAAGTAATGATTTGGTGTCTGTTAATTGTTTGTGCAGGCAAGTAGACTTGTCTTTATAATGAGGAAGCTTTTTTTGACCTGTAAAGCATTGTACATTACTGTGGGGTTGCGGACACTATAGTCCTGGGTTATTTGCTGGAGCGGAGATAAAGAGTAGGAGTAGGAGGTCAACACAGTCATGAGAAGTATAGGGAATAGTGTGGAGAAGTGGAGCCTAAGTTCCAGACTTCCTTCCACTTCTCCATTGCCTTTGGAGTGACACAGTGTTGTTTTCTATCATTGCTTTTCAGTTTGAGGAAGAATTCATAGAAACAAAGGAAGACCTAGAAAAATTACTCAATGGTGAGTCTGTAAACTGTACTCTAAACATAAATTCACACCAATATAACAAAAGGACAACAGGTGATATTTTTGTAACACCTCCAATACGATGTGACCTGTAAAGAGAAGATTTGAGAGACCTGCTTGCTTGCGGATGCTTTCATCCCTCAGAATTGGAAATGTCTTGGTGTGTTACCAGGTCTCTTTCTCCGATTCAGTGTAGTACTGCAGCAGTCTGAGTAGTTTGCATCTTTTTCTTCCCAAGATGGATCCCTGCTATTTCAGCAAGTGCCCATGGTGGAGATCGATGGGATGAAGCTGGTGCAGACTAGAGCCATCCTTGGCTACGTAGCAGCAAAGTACAACCTCTATGGAAAAGACCTGAAGGAGAGAGCCTGGTACGTAACAGTGCGTACTATCCTTACTAATACTCTTCTATGATTTCTAATATTTATAAGAAGAATATTGCTGTGAAATATCTGCATGTAAAGGTGCATATACATCTGCCAATGCTTTGTCTCCTCAGACCCAGGGATAGGGTGAATGGACTTTGTGACTGATAAATGATTGTTAATTGTCAACATAGTGAGAATGTTATGGCCATCTTCAGGCTCATTTGATTTCATAGAGACCAGAAGTGCATTAAGTTCCTGGGCAACTGCAGGACCTGAATACAATAATAAAGGCTAAGTATGCCTTTTTTTTCCTCTTTAAATGGGAAAACGGTAGGAAAAACTACATCTGCCTGCAAAAAATGAAGTGTGTTTAAGTGTTCTAATTTCCTTTTTTCAAAATGTAAAGAATCTTTCACAGCTGATTTAAAAAAAGACATCTTCAGTGACTTAATGCTACTGAAAGTTAAACCAATATTTTCCTAATATTAGTTTACTATGTAAGCTGTGGATACTTTCCATTGTCATAATTAAAGGGCTAATGCAAAAGCAAAAATCCTTATTTACTTTTTCTTTAAAAAAAAAAAAAGTCACACAAAAGTTCAATTAAGTCCTTGACCTAACTGACTACCACTTACTGTAAAGGGTTTATTCTGTGATAATGGACGGGCAACTCCAGAAAGTGTGGGGATTATTATGGACTGGCATGTCTGAACTGGCAATTGGTAGCCAGGATCCTTTCATGATTAGACTTCAAAACTATTTTTTTTCTCTAGCATGGTTGGTATATGTGGTCTTTTCTCCCACAGCATAGATGAATAGGTTATCAATGGAAAACAGTGTGAACTCCACGTTAAATACATTAGTTGCAGACTCTTACTTGTACCTTGCTTGTTGCAGACACTGTGAGCCTGTTAATAAAGATCTGTGCTTTGAAAAAAAACTGACCTGGAATCAAAGTGGAAGAACAAGAAAACAAACTAGTGTCTTATGTTACATTCACTAATAAGCATTTTACTCAGTGATCACTTCAGCATTGTATTTCAGGAAAATAACCAACACGGAATGTTCAAATGATAAATGTGAAATAAAAATATTTGTTTCAGGATTGATATATACGTGGAGGGAACAACAGAGCTGATGGGAATGATGATGTTTCTTGCTTTTCAAGCAGCTGACACAAAAGAAAAGAATATTGCCTTAATGATTGAACGAGCTACAACCAGGTACTTTCCTGCTTATGAAAAGGTAAGTGATAAATCACCAATAGTCCACAAAGACAGTAAAGTGAGGTACAGGTTCCGCTCCACCCCACTCCCCTGTCCCCACACACCTACTTTCTAGGAGGCAAGTGACAGTACAACTCTGGAATTGTATGATGGAGCCAGTATTCAGTAATGTGAAAAGAGGGCCACAAAATAATATTGGGCTGGTTTCAGTACTGAGTATCTTTGCTGTTTTCTTTAAGACTCTTCAAAGAGCAGATCCTACTTTTTAAACCTAGCTTAGTTGCTGATAGCTCCTAGCATTTTGCATAAATGCGCCATTTAAATACCTGTGCCAGCCTTCAGAACTTATTGCCTAAAAGTGTAATATAATCTTGCTGTTCAAAGTTAAATATAATTGTGCTTTATAATTAAGGACCTAATTCTGTGATCTTTCTCAAACCCATTGCTTAAATATATTATACTTACAGACTATTACTGTCTTTTTCTGAATCGCTATTTGGGCATCCTTAGGTGTGCACAAAGAGGCTCTGCAAACAGGATGTATCTAGCTTAAAATCATAACGCAATTATTTACTGGCTAGCATGCACTAAAGAGTTAGCCTCTAATGAGCTAACTAATGAGGTAAGGCATTGTTATGCTTGCCACCCCCATAGAGCACAAGAAGAGTCTTTCTTGGCTAGGCAAGGGTTGGTCAGGAGGGGACGGGTTGTTCTTTGCTTCTCCCTGGAACATAGCCTGGATGTTACTGAGTTACCATTTTCTACCACCTTGCTGTTTGTTCTGTTATTTTGTTTTGTTTTTTCCTTTAGGATATTATAATTTTTTTTTGGTGTTAACATTTTCCTGTTTGAATTGAGCCAGCTGTGATCCCCATCTCACTAGCCTACTTCTGTTTGTAATTTTACCTTTTGTACCTTGTATGGTTGTTCTATACACACTTTCTTACAGCACTTTTTCAGAGCGTAGCAGTCTCCTTGGAAGTCTGTGCCAAGTTGTTTCAGAGCTGTGCCGGGTTTCTAGCTTGAATCCTTGGTTCACAGGCAGCTGAAGTCCGTTCAAAAAATACAGAACTTGATGCAATTTCATGTGCCTCTTTATCAGAGCCTTAAATTGCACAAGCAAAACCCACGGAGGCTGCCCTGTGAAAAAAAATGGCACATTAACGACATAAGGCAGCACTCCTGTAATGAGAGTTCGTATAGATCTACTGCCATACCAATGGAAGGCTGTGCTGAGAGAGATTGAATGCACACATTAATCTTTCAAAGATTTGAAGTCTGATAACATAAGTATTTTAAGTTACTAAAAAATAAAAAAGCAAATTTAGACACCAGTATTCTTCGAATCTGTGCCTAGGTGGCATAAACTACTGTTACGATATGTTTTAGTGTGGATGCTCACTGGAGGAAAGTCTTTACAATAATCCCTGGTCACTTATGGTAAAGACACGGCTAAACTTCTCCATGATTTTTAGCCTAGTTAATTTTGTTAGAATGATTAATAATTTTCCTTCTGTACCAGCTGTTTAAGTTGTCCATTGATTCAGCTTAGCAGGGTTTGCAGTCCATGTGTTATGCAATCCTGACAGAAAATATCCCTAGCTATGAGTGTTCAACTTTAAACACTCGGCAGCCAGGTAGAGCTGCAATAGGTATACAGAGCACTGCAGGCAATCTGGTTCCAATGCTCTGTCTGGGAGTTTCCATATGGTTTTCATAGACAAGCTGTGGTGGACCTTGTTAGAGCAGTATAGGAAATAGCTACATGAAGGTATATCAGCCTTGCCTCTGTCAGAGGTTACTGCCTCTTTTATACTAAAATTGGCAGATGGGACTGCCATCCCATCTGCCAAGGGGATGCAGGAATCGGTTTCCAAAGTCACAGACTGATGTCCTAGTTTTAGTGCACATTTGTTAGTTGTTTAAGTGTAGCATTAGAGTACATTAGGCACAGACGTGTTTCCTTCTCCCTCTTCTGCTACAAGGGTGATAGTCTTCAGGAAAAAGGTAGGCTGGAGAGCTGGTAACTGCTCTGAAGCTGTGCTGCAATATATGACACCACAACTTGTTTATTACAGCTATTAGTGGCATTGGCGGGCTGTGATTCTTGCATCAGCAGTTTGCCATGAAAGATCCTTCCATACAGGATGAAGGGTGGAAAGGCTGTGTTCCTTCATTCCTGTTTCAAACTATAATCAGCAATTTCAAATTTTGCTGAAACATCTGGGAATTCACTTGACTTACACTACAGGCAAACTGTCCTGACTACCTCTTACAGTTACTTTGGTCCTGTTTCTTTTTTATGATTTGAGTCTTTCCTAGCTACAGCTACCTGGTGTGGTAGGTTAGAGCAAGTAATAGTTCCATGCACACTGAAACATGAGTTCTGGTTTAATTTTTTGTTGTGAGAATACCTATCACTTTCTAACTGTAGAGATTCTTGCATGACTTTGCTCTGCTGTGTATTTTTGTAGAAATCTGTCTGTAATGAAATGTCTAGATAAAATTGTTACATCCTATATGACTTTTTTCTTTTGTTCGCATTTTGTAGGCCTTAAAAGACCATGGGCATGATTATCTTGTTGGCAACAAATTAAGCTGGGCAGACATCCATCTGCTGGAAGCCATTTTAATGGTAGAAGAATATAAGCCTGATATACTCTCTACATTCCCTCTGCTACAGGTTAGTAATCGTCTGATCTCAATATGGAATGTAACATACAAATGTCACTGCCCGGTTTTAAAAGCTAATTGATGTTTAAATCTTTTGAACCGTTGTACTATGTTACTGACAGCTCTCTAGTCTACTTCTGTTGACTACAACAACCTGAACACAGGCGCACTGCCTTGTCCCCAGAGCTGCTGGGGGCTCACCTTTCTCCAGCTCTACTTTTCCCAGCTGTTCTCAGCTGGCAGGAATTCACTTACTAACACTACCAGTTTGGTCCTGTAACTGCTGCTTCCATGTCTTCAAACACAGCAACGAGCATCAGGAGGGGAAGTCTGCAGCCTGTTGTGTCTGCAGTTCCTGTCCTTCTCTTTTTGATAGCAAAATTATATTTTAAAGAAATCATATACAAGAGCTGTAAGTTTCTTATGTCTTGTCTTCCATGGTGCTTTGCACTGAGGTATTCCTGTCCTTGCCTCTTTTTTGCCCAAATATATCTGCAGGATTTGGATTCAGGCTGTGGTTTTTGCTTTTTTTTTCCTTTCTTTTTTCTTCCACCTTTACCAGATGAATCTTAACTCTTTAATATTAGTTTCTCCCATCCCCATCTGGGAAACTAAGGTAAACTTTGTAGCACCAGCATTGCAGATCAGAATATTCACAGCTGGATTTTCTAAAAAGACTAGTATGTTGTAGGTGTGGGTTTGCTGTTTTTTTTTTTTTTAAATGGAAAATGCTGACTGTTGAGCTACTACCTTTCTCTGTTTAATAAGTATGTCTGAGAAGTAAAAATCCAAGTCACCTGATTTTTAAGCTATAAAGGACGGAATTATAATTTCCTGACACTCATTGGCTTTACTGCTGCTTTTTACAGGCTTTTAAAGGAAGAACAAGCAACATTCCAACAATAAAAAAATTCTTGCAGCCTGGCAGCCAGAGAAAGCCACCATCAGATGAGAAGTTTGTTGCCATTGTGACAAAAATATTCAATACCTAATCATGTGGCTGCTGAAGATAAGACAACAGTAGTGTATTACCAGAGCTGTGCCTTCTAAGTGTAAACTGCATAGATGTATTCTGTAGCTTGCATCATAGAGCCAGTCACATGATAATTGCTGAAACAGAACACACTTTTAAATTAGAGTAAAAGGTTAATTTGGACCTCTTGAGTCCAGAAAGTATTTCATGGAGCAATTATATGAAATAAAATAAGCTGATACTTTGCGGTTTTTTTGTTAATTACAGTACACGCCTGGTAGGGTAGAATGTTTCAGCTATGGCTTCCAGAGTACCGTAGAAAGAAAGCCCTCTTCCCCTTCCTCTCCCCATTTTAATAAATTGGGAAAAGCCACTCCATAAAAACGGGGAAGACATTTAAATTCAGGCCTAGTCTTTTGGTTTTGCTCTCTAGGTGGTCTCCTAGATCAAAGTTCAGTCCCCCTGCTGTATTCCACTGCTGTCTGTACTTTCAGAGCTGCACTTCAAAAAATAAACAAATAAAAATCTAAAAAAAAAAAAAATTAAAACTCATGATCCTCATAAGTTTATGGGCAAAAGTGAGAAACTTGTTTAATCCCCACATGAATCTCTTAAAAGAGATTTTATTCACTGAAAGATCAAAGTACATGTGTTTAATTAGCTTGATTGAAACCACCTACTCCCTTGCTCTTCTTTTTGCTGCTTGGCTGGATGGTCACAGTGAGGAAAATGCCACTTGACTGGGTTTTTTTTTTTTGTAAGGTTTTTACCTTCTTCAGTCACTTCCCAAGTTGTAAAGAGAACTGCACTTGCTGCTTACCCTTTCAGTAAAAAGGTTAGTTTTATCTCAACAGTGCTTAAAGCATTCACTACTATTTCAGATTCTTTACCCTTATTTCATGGGAACCATCACTGTCCGCTTTAAGAACAGTGCCATAAACTATTCTTCCTTGCAGTTAGTTGTTTTTCTCAGCAGGACTTGAGGAAACAGTCAGCCAGTGTATGTACAGAATTGCTGCCCAGCAAAGTTAACTCCTTTTCTGACTTGTGCGTAAGAAGAACGACATAATGTATCTATCTCAGAGGTACAAACCAGAAACGCCCCAATCACCTGAGCACTGCCCAGACGAGCTCCTGAGAGTTTTACATTAAAATTATCTAGGTAGCTGGAAGCGGTAGTTTGCAATGCCCACCATAGTACTCAAGTTTCATTGAGCTACACCTCTGTTCCAAACAAGTGCTATGCTCACTGGACTGTCACAGAGACTGGCACAGGACATCACCTTTGCATTTTGTGAGTCCTCAGTCCCACAGGGTATATTAGACTTGCTGAGAACGCTACCTGTTTGGGCTGCTCAGGAATTTAAGCAAAAGGTTCTGGGTTATAGTTGGGCTTGGAGGCTAGCCACAGCCTCCTGCCCCCATGGGCTAATTCAGCGAATGCATGGAAGGCTCAACTCTGGACATGCTCAAAAATACAAAATCTTACTGCATTTAGGATCTGGGCTGGCAGCAACTGCAGGATGGCTTCTGCATTTCAGCACTAGGTTGCCTAAACTTTTCACTGGAGCTTAATCTAAGGCAGGATTCACCTTGTCTACAGTACAAATATCCAAACTGGCGTTGGTCACCCAAGCCTGTTATGGTACACGGCAGTTCAATTCCTCTAACCTGTCTTGAAGTTCTACTTCAGGATAAAATGAACCGCATCTTATGTGTCCAGCTGTCCGTTATTTTAGATACTGAGATCCCAATCTGAAATCCATAACATATCAGCTCAATCAGCTCTAAACCTGGCGACACCTGGAGATGACTGATATCAACATTTGTTAGCACAAGATTCCAGAGCTGGTGGCTGTGGTTTGGGGGAATTGCCTTTTTTTTTGATCAGTTGTGCTTTAGACATCTGAGTTGCTCGCAAAACCTTGTCACCACCTAAGCCCCTGCCAAGAATAATAAGCTTGGTATTCTGCTGATGGATTTGCAGAGCAAATAACCTTTATAAGCAAGCTCTGTATGAAAAAAATGAAAAGAAGCAAAATTTCTCTTTGTCTTCAATAGTGCACTCGCCCATATTCAGTTTCCTAATGATTTGGCTGCACGTTCCTGTGCGCCAGGAGATAGCCTTAGCCAAGCTTTCAGACCCAGGGAATATTTAATTATTTCCTATGCAAACCAAAGCAACTTCAATCCCTGAATAGTTTATGTCTGAATAGGCTTCAGACATAGGACTTCAGCAACATAACCTGTATAAGACCACAACGGCAAACCTGTTAAGGAGTATTGAGACTGTAGAGTTTAGAACCTATTTGTGCAAGATGGTGAACCTTCCCCAGCTGTGGTTCATGTCAGTGGGAATTTACAGCATGGTACATGTTTTAAACGGTACTGAGTACAAAGCAGATCACCAGAGTTTTCCATTGACAGAACGGCTCACTGGTCTGCATAAAAAACTGAGAAGCTCCGAACATTTTACATTTTATTTGATCACTGATAATAGTTTTTACATTTAGAAGCAATGGAACAAGAACATGTGTTTGAAAGGAAGGTGGGTTTTCTAGTGCAACACAGTACAGGCCCAAGCCTTTATTGATTAATAATTGACAATCTGATTAGAATTGATTACTTAATCTGAGAAGCTACAAAATTACGGTTCAATACAATATACCTTTTTAGCATAAACGTATATATATATTTTCTTCTCTCAGAGATACTCAATTTCTTGGGGCACTCAGCACCCCTGAAAGCGATCAAACTTAGAGAAAGATCCCTTGAGTTAACAGACTGCTTGAACGGAAGTAGATCAAAATATATCATCAACAAAACAGTTTAGTTTAAAAAAAAGCTTGCAAAATATCAGCAAATGTCAATAATCAAGTAACAGGTACAGATCTTTTACAGAAAAGATACACGCAATGTAAGACTTGTGTTCAAACTTGTCTTTCAAGTATGGAGAGCTTGCCTGTTTGTTCGGTAGGAGTGGCAGACATACTTTGGTTCTTAAGTTGCGAAATTCTCCTACAGCAGCATAAAAACAAGCCTCAAAATCATCAAAAGGCTGCAAAAAAAACCAGAACAAAAAACATAAATATGGTTGTGCATGAACAAAAACAGTGAAAGTCATCATTAAATAATAGAACATTCATAAATGCCTGACCCTAGAGCCTCTAGTAAGCAATCTTTTAAAATGTCTAAATCTACAGCCTCAGAGTCTGTTGAAACACACCACCCACCTAGGCTTGAAAAGCCATCCACAATGGAAAATAACATTTTCCAGTTTAAGGCTTGATTCTTAAATTTTGCATCTTGACAATGTGCATCTGATTTTTTCCTCCCTGTATGTAATTGGAGTAAAACAATTCATGGTGTTATATTAAATCTGGTAACAACAAAGCAACAGTTACTATTGCTTCAGAAGATGGAGATTCTGACTTACAGTTGAAAAATGTTTTGAGTTACAGACTCACTTGGAAAAAAAAGTTTTGACTGACTCCAAAATTTAATTCCAAAATAATAAGTACAGAAAATTACGTTTTCCAGAATGCCAAAATAAACAGCAGCAATAAAGCTGTCAGAATGGTTAGAAACACCATAATTTGCAGTCATACTGACCCAAGTTCTTAGGTCAGATCAAAAATGTCCTAGTTTTCAAAGGACATGCACTGCGCTTCCAGCAGTTTTGAATGCAGCATTTCTAAACCAAAGTGTTGGTCTTTTTTAAGACAACTGTGTTGTATGAAATTAGATGACTAATTTTATGCATATGTGTTTGAAAACACTGAGGCTTACCTCAGGTTCTTCCAAGAGCCTTATCAATATGCATTAATACTTAATTGTAAATCTCTCCTTTCTGTGCTGAGAAAGTGAGTCCATATCAGATATAACTGCCTAGTGAGGTTAAAAAGGTGTTCACTGGAAACAGGACTGTGACCTCCAAACTAATTTCACTTAAACCATACAGTTGCTGGATGATAGTAACTTCCACTGATACTGGCTTGAATCAGATGTCAAATGGCAACTATTTGAAAATAAGTGAAATCTTTACATTAAGATCCTCAGTATATGTTTACCTCAGGCATGCTACTAGTCCAGCCGGCATTAATTTCTTGGACCTCTTGAACCTCATTCCCATTATAATGGTCAAAAGAAAAGCTGAGACTGTAAAAGACAATTCAATATATTTATGTTCTCACTTCTCCCAGTGGACCATTCAGGAACATGAAGAGTTATCAAAGGTCATTGCTGTGTTTTGCTATGAACTGTAATTTAATAGAACATTAGATCAGAGATAGGGTCTATAAAAACATTCTTGCTTTACCAAAATACTCTGCTATGGTTTCTTTCAGCTACAAATAAGGTTTCCACATGCAGCAGAATGCTAAATCCTATTCCACAGATACTAAGTAAGTTTGTCAGACAGTGAATTCTACTCCCCCGTATCTCCATTCATGGGAATACAAATAAAGTAGGAAGAATCTTCATCATAACGGTAACATGTATGCTGAATTACAGGAATAGTGTCTCATAAATCCTACCACCCTAGATCAGTGCAGTATTCAAGGAGCTAGAGCATCCAACTTTATCTGTTTTCTTTTTAGAATGCTAGCTCTTTATTTGCTGAGCCTTAAAAACTAGATTGGAAGGTCTGCCACTTGTTTTCGCTACGGAATATGGCTATCAACACCTCCTTCATCGTGACCACAAGTTCCCTTGTTTCCTTTTGCTATGAGGGAACCATCCTTGTTTATGACAAGAGGTGGGCAGCCCAAGAGGGCAACAGATGCAGTGCAAGCAGCAGAGAACAAACATCAAACAAACATTCCTTCTTCCAGGAGCAATTTTACCTAAAAATGGAGGTAGCAATGAACTGATCAGACATGGGGATTTTGTATCCAACTATGGCTGCAGAGCACTACATAAATGAGAAGACTGATGAGAATACATAAAACTCTGCAAAGATATCTAGCGTCGTTAAAGAGCTGTCACCTGAAATGCTTCCTAGGAGTGGGCAGAGAGGCAGGACTTTTCATGGGCAGCTGGGCTTTATCACTCTTGCAGCCAAAGTAATGGCAGTTACACAAATCTCTTCCCTTTTTTTATGGAGCAGTTAAACCATCTGGCTAATTCTCTTCAAACTCCACTGCCTGCTCCTGTGGACAGTCCTGTGCTCACAGGTGTCAAGAATTAGTTTTAAACTCACTCCAGCATTATAAAACAAGCTTCGACAGTTACAAGCATCTTACAAAACTCTACAAGCTATGTATGTGCACTCATTAAAGATACCCTGCAAAAAATGTATTATGCTCCATTATCCATGGCTCTTATTTTCTGGTCCCATAGCCTTGATCCTCTCAGGAATGTCTGAAGAGTGGACTATTCCACAGTATGTGTCTTGCCAGAGCCCTGAGTATATTTACAATTAATTACAAGCTACAAAGCATGTTCACCCTGTAGTATTCTTTTTTTCCAGTTACTAGTATCTAGCTTTTCACATGTTTTTAAGACATTTGACTTTTAGACCTGATTTTCAGAAGTGGTAGCTATTCACTGTTTCACCTTAAATCAGTCAAAGAAATTCAATAAATCAAGCCAAATTCAATTCAGTAAATCAGATTCAGAACAGAAATTCAATAAATCAGCTTGCACTCTGAAGAACACTAACTGTTGCATACTGAAGTCTGAATTTTTACACCTACTCCAAACACATAACATTACATTAAAGTATTCAAGAAAGCGCAGAGTTAATTTCAGGCGGGGTGGGACAATGCCTGAAAGAATAATTTATAAAACAACTAAGATGGGGGTATCTGTATGCTACATACTCTTTGTATGTAGGACAAGTTACAAGAACCCTACTGTCAAGGTCTTGTATTAAAACATTACCTACATTATGGTAGGATACTCTTGCGTAGGTGATAAATATTATAATTATGGGTTTGGAGAGGGATTTTTTTTTTTTTTTTTTTAAAATTCCTAACCTTTTAAAGGTTTGGGTACTTGCTTCATTTTACATTGCAATTTACTCTTCTGGTTTCTAAGTTCAGAGCGGTCACTTTCTTCCATGCACTTAATTTCCTTCTTTCATTTGTGCTCTAGTTGCTTTTGGCACTTCGGGAGGTTAGGCATAAGTGAAAACATTCTGATTTTCTACAAAAGCAATACACATTTTTTACGGAAAGCCCTTATTATTCTGAAAGTAGCAGATACAGTAGCCACCAAAGGTTTTTAAGGTGTGGACCCACAGATGTTTCCAAGAGTGTCTAATTCTCCCTTCCTCTGAAGTCTTCCTACCGAGTTCTTCATTCATTTGAGATATCTACGTATATAGAAGCCAGAAGACACCCTCTTCCAGACTGAGATACATCAGCCTGGAAGAGATTAAAACCAGCTTAAATGGCAGAGTACTTTGTATGAATACTTCCTAACTCACTTCAGGCAAAAATTACCACAGTTAGTTCAGACCACGTTCTTTGTTTCATTCAGCACAGGTGGATCTTGAAGAGGCCACCCATTCATAGCCGAGGTTAAATATATGTTTAGGTTTTAAGCAATTAGAACGTTACTTTGTAAACATTCTAAACTAAGACTGCTTTAAAAAGTCTTTGTTTCTTTTACTCTACATCATACGAACATTCTAAGGCAGGTGTAGTGAACTCTATCTCATCTATATTGCTGTAATTTCTATTAAATTAGTAATATCCATTTCTCCAGTTGCGAGAAAGTCCTCACACAGCCTACAGCTACATGAAATGCACAACACTGACAATATTTTAGTATAACTGATGTTCACAAGCAGATTAGTGGAAATTTTGTTTTAGTCCTTTCATAACCAGGGGATTGGGAAACAGGCAACATTTAGTGAGTTTTAATTAGTCTTCTCTTCCACAAATTCTGTATCCAAATTAGTGATTTAATTGACCCATAAAAGTACAATACCGTACGCCACTTAAAAGCACCTCACACTGAATGATTACAAATTACAAATCATATACTTAAGGCTATGTCTTCATTCCAAAAAGGGTGAGTTTTTTTAACAGTGGAATAACTTAATCTGAGCAAGGCCATGGTCACAAAGCTGGAATATCCAATTTTAGGCCATCTAGGAGAAGATCAGGTATGCCATTACAACCTTTAGTAAAGAACTCAGCTTGTGGGAACATACTTTGCTAACAATGCTATTCAACATTTTTTTGAAATGGATATTTTTACAACTGTGGCTGGTGTAAAACATGAACAGTATACCATAAATTCTAACTAAGTACAGAAAAAGCGATTTTGTACTCACACAATCTGGATTAAATGTATTTTAAATGCATTTCTGTGAAACCACAGCCTAAGCCACTTTTGCTAAAACCATGAGTGAGACAAGCTCCCATAAGCTCTTATTGCAAATCAGTTGTGTGAGGTTAACATCCCCCTTAGAGAGTGTAGTTCCTTGCCTCCATGAGGGTTTATGGCAAACTAGCTAATGCAACAATTATTGCATAGTTTGTATCCTATCTTTCTTAGCAGCAAAGGAAAAACACTAAGTCAAACTATTTGTTTCATTGGGAGCTGAGGGTATGTTACATTATGCAAGACTGGATCCCACACCTACTTTACTTCTCAAATTACATTCTAATCTGTAGCGCCAATGATTTTAGTCCAGTACTCGCCCATGTTTCTCAGTTGGATTTTGCAATATTTGCAATGTTAGGTAACCATCTAATAAAAGGAGGTGCTGCCAGGTGGTAACACACACCTGCTGGCTTTGTGTGAATGATCTGCCTTACCTTGCAAATGGTTCCACAGTTAAACTCTTGAATTTTGCAAGCTAAGTTGAAATGTCAAACTCTATTTAAAAACTAACATTTAAACCAAAGCAATACTCAAAATTTAATATAAGAGAGAATTTTACATGCAGTTTAGGAAAATACTTTTTTGGGGTATTTTTTGTGCGTTTGTTTGTTTACTGTAGTAAAACACTTACACAATGATATCTTCACATTTCTCGGATCACGTGTTACGCAGTAAGCTCCATAAGCAGCCACAGAACCAAAGGTGAGACCAGCAGCTAAAGAGATTCTACTACCTGCAAGAAACCAATCAAGTGTTATTTCTCAATACAATGTCTTTAAGCTCAACCTTTACACAGTAGTTCTCTCTCTACACAGTATTATCCAAATATTTTAAAAATAGAACCGATTTTGCCACAGTGCAGCTAGCTCACCCAGTGTGAATAGAGAGGTAATATTTCTGTAACTGGGTCATTCTCTTGCATGGCATTAGGGGCAAAGCTGAATAAATTAGAGGGAGATGATCAGGATCTAGTAATACTTGCAATTTGGGAAAAATAAGCTTCGAAGCACAAACCTAAATCTGGCTACTTTCTCTACTGTACATACCTTTAATTTCTATGGACTGTCTGTTGATTTTAACTATATCTTACAGCACTTGGGATTCTCCAAAAATGGTAGAAATGTGTCAATATATATAAATGCTACATTGGACAACACATGTAGTCATAAGCCTTTCAGTCTGACATCAGTCCTGGACAAAAAAATGGTATCACCAACATCACAATTAATAAAGAATTAAAAAACAATTAGATGGCAATGAGGATGAAAATATGGCTTTTAAAAGTAACTTGACATCTTCTTTCAGTGCTATTACAAAACTGGTTCACAAAGCCCAGAGTTTCAGTAATATACTTAGGCTTCTGAATAGGCATTTGACTCTGTACCATATGATAAAAGCATAGAATCAGCACAGCAGGCATTATCTGGATTAAGCTGATCCCAAAATGTTTATAAATAAAGAATCCAGACCCCCAGATGTCATTTAGCTCCCAGTCCTGTTATATTGAATATTTTTAATCAAGAATTTGCAAGAAAACAGAAATCATTATCAATAATAAAAAAAAAAAATCTAGATTTGCCACAAGGACTGACCAGCTATTAAAGAGTGAAGAGAACAAGCGAATGGGATAGTCAGTGAGTGCAGCTGGGTGCAAACAAAAAAATACAGCAAGTGTTTTCATAAAGTCAGATATAAAGCCACGTCTCTAAGAGCAAAGCAAGTGCACCCTACGCAGGGAAACAGTGACCCTAAATCACAAGAATCGGGATGGATAATGGCCACGGCGAAGACGACTGATGCGCTGCTGGGACGTGCACTTTGTGGGAGAGCTAACGGGGATCAGCCTGGAGATCCCGCCTGCCCGTCCTCGGTACCACTGCGACCTCTGCCGGGATGCTGTGCTCGGCTCGGGCTGGGCACTGCTGGCTGGAAAGGACTGCAAAAATGACTGAAATATGGAAAACGCGCTTTATAGCACACGATAACCTAAAACCTGATTATCTTGGAGTTAATATCTAAGAGGTAATTAACCACCAGATCAGAATATGCAACTGAAGGGTTTTCTTTCCAGTGTGCATCTAGAAATCTCAAAATCAAGCCAGGATGCCTCCGTAGAAAATAAACTTTAATCAAAGATCATCTACTGTGCTCAACGCAGGAATGACTAAAGGAAATGAGAAGGCCCAAAATACACTGAAGGTCAAAGATAACATGACAGCCCCTTTTTGCCCTGAAAACAAACTCATCAGTTAGATTAACAGAAAAAAGTGACCACTTAAATGCTTAAGTTGACCCAAGTAAACCTCATGAGACTCAGCTCATTTATAGCAGCGCAGGATGGATTTAAGATGCAGTCGTGTTCATTATAGCAAAGTTTTCATGTCTCGCATCAATTTTTTTTTTTACAAAGCGTAGTGGAGAAGAAACTCAAATGCTTCATTTCCAAACCCTGCTGTCCCAGTATGTACCTTTACGAGTGTATCCTACAACACCTCCAACAGCCAGCAATGCAGCATATGCAAAACCAATCCAGTCAATAGCCATGGTCCCAACTCTGGGGAAGAAAACACATTGCAACTGAAGACAAACAAGTTCCTTCCTCCTGGTAAACAAAAAAATCATTACTTAAAGTGTTCTAAATAACACTACACTCTCCTAAGTCGTGTTTTGACTACTGTGTCAAAACATTCAAAAAGTGAAGGTGTGTCTGTTGTATCATCGTTTCACTAACTGCTGCCCTTCCTTACACCTCAGTATCTAGGTATACCGTATTTCCATTGGGGGAAGTTGGTATGTTGGGGATGTAGTGGCATGCATTTTTCCCAGTCAAAAATACACGTATGCAAGTAAAAAGCTTGACATCACCCAAAGCATCAGTTTTGTTGCATTTGTGCCACGTGGCTGATCTGGGCATACGCTATTGATACATGCAGGTCTTCTGAGTGCACACCTTAGTGCCCTTTCAACCAGGCTGTACTTGGTCTACTTCAAGCAGCATGTCACAGGCCCTGCAACACCAGGCAAAATCAGGAGTTTTCAGAGTCTACCCAAGTTTCCAGACAGAAACCTAGGCCGTCTTCGGGAAGCTATATGTACAGAAGCTTTATCCTATCTCTGTCCATGCCCCTTTTGTTTCACATTTAGATTTTGATTCATTTTCCGAAGTTAGGCTTCTGTTCTCCAAAAAGCATTTAAGTTACTGCTGTAATACTGATCCCTACTTCCCCAGCTCTGCTTTGTAAAGGTACGAGTGGCAGCGGTTTGCAGCCTCACAGCGCCAGCAGCACTATAGCCTCTCTCCCACCAGCTGGTGGGATACACCTTTCCCTTCCTTCTCCCATATTAAGTGTACACTTAATTAAGTGCATCCTTCTTTTTACCTGTGGGGGTGTGTCCTTGATCACAGTGTTAAAGCGGTGGCAGGCAAAGTGCACACTCATCATTTCATGTCAAGCCTTTGATATTTAAGTGAGCAACTCACAGCGAGCCCCCCCCAGCTGCAACCCCTCAGGAAGACAAGTGGTGTTAGGGGGCCATGACATCCCCGAAAACGAGGTCTGCAGAGGCAAGGGCCAGGCTCAAAGCCCGGCCTTTGATCCACCCGGCCTTCGTGGCCGAG